TATCTCTCTGGTAGGCCAGTAGCAGTGTTGAGTGTATAGTTATCTTTGGAAAGACCATCAATAAAAAAAAAAGCATGTTTAATAGACCAGAAATTGAAATGGGAGTTAGAGAACTTGGATTTATTAATTCAATGCCACCATTAATGTAGGTTTTACCACCAAGTAATACTATAAATGATTTTGAAATTCTTGGATGAAAGGTGCTATGTAAATGTAAATACAAAGGAATCTTACTGAAATACAAATATTGCACAACAAAATATTATAAATCTATTCTCTAGACTTTCTAAAAATCTATCATGACTCCCTGGTTTCAAGCATCAAATTAGTAAATGGGTATCATGGCAGGCTAGAGACACTTGATGTAAAAGATGTTTATTTTTGGTTGGATAAGTTGAAAGTAAATGTAGAAATTGTTTTAGCTAAATACAGTAAGTGGGTAACTTAGATTTATATTAACTAGCATCTAATTTGCACAACTAGGACATATCCCAGGACAATTACTGAAAGCTGAAACCTGATTAGTGCAAGGTGGCCCAATCAGAGTGTCTATCAGTTTGCCCTCTCCAAGATACCAAAATCCTAAAATAAAGAACCCATTGAGTTAACCAGCACATTACTGCTTCAACAGAAAGTGGTGAATGGCAGCCTATAAAGTACTAAATCTGAATAGACTGATCCTAATAATGGACAACTAAAGAAACAACCAAGGGTTGGGCCAGGGATTTAGCTCAGTGGCACCAAGCCTGCCTTGCACAAGGTCCTGAGTTCAATCCCCAATACCAGAAAAAAAAAAAAAGAAAGAAAAAACCAAGGGAATACATTGAGACTGTAAAAATTCAAATATTCTCAGTTATAATCATCACATTTTTCATGCCATTTCAAGGAGGACTAGATAATAACCACATGAATATTTTACTTTCTCCAAAAGCAACTCTCAGAAGCAAACTTCATAGGAAGCCTTTCTTACATAAACTTCTGCCAAACAAAATAGTAAGCCAGCTGGAACCAACCAGGACCATTTTCCTAACGAGGGCCTAGACGGTTTTAAGTCTCTGCCTCTATTATAAAGTAACACCTAAAACCCCAAGGAAACTGAAAAATTCAATATACAGGGTAATAGCTTTGGCCCAAAGCTCTAATAATGTGCTTCAGATCTGGCCGTGTGGAAATGTTTTGGTCCAAGCTTTTGAATTGGTGGTTACCAAAGAGTTCATAAGACAGGTTCATACATCATAGCACCTTTCATGCAGGGCATGGTAAAAGCCTAACTTAAAATAATCACTGTGCACATTACAGAATTGCATCCACTTCATAGATGAAGTACTACAGCCTGTACTGTCTTAGCAGTTTATGTCAGGAAGTGAGAATGATACTGTACCAAGTCTGGAATTACAATGGAGAATAATAATGTATGCTAAATTGCTTTTGTGTTTAAAGTTACTTTTTATGAGAAAAGTGGTGAATTTGTTTTTCTTTCTTTTCAGCTACTCTTAGTTCTGAGACTTTTTTTAAGCCTTGAATGAAGAATACAAAAGGAGCCCATTTTATAATTAAACCTTGATGCACATGTTGAGATATCTGGACAATGAAAATGCCTTAAAAAAGAATGCTTAATAAATGATGTTGCACTTACAACACCCTTTAACAAAACTTAATTTTAAATTGTCTTTTTCTTTTCTACTAAGGGTTCTGTGTTTCAGTGTCTGCCGTTGTACTTACAACTGTTATTAAATACCAAATCAAATAACATAAAAGCTGTAACATTTCCTTTAAAATTAAATGCTATTGAGGGATTTGCAGTTGGGTGGCAAAATGTTTATTACTTGACAATAAACATTATCAGCCACAAGAATCCAGCTCATGAGACCCCACTGTTTGGTTGATTTGTCTTTTTAAAACAATTATTCTCATTTTAAACTGTTTATCCTTAAAAATTTAAGTTGGATTAACATTCATTTTTCAAACTGATACAAAAATAAAACAGGTGATTTTTTTATAACAAGTGGTTAGTAATCATTTTAAAATCATATAATTTTAGCCAACTGTTACTGTTTGCTCTGGAGAAGTACTTTCAGACACAACCCATAACTTGTTAGATTATTTTGTCCTAATCATTTGAGGATGAGTATTAGAGGTTTGGGGAAAAAAAGAAGTCAGTTTGTTAATTCTCATTCCCAACAAAGGTTTAAATACAATCTATAGTAGTCCCCTTTATCAGAGGGGAATATGTTCCAAGACATTTGTGGATGCCTAAAACTACAAATAGTATCAAACCCTATATATACTTTTTCCTGTACATCCCTATGGTAAAGTTTAGTTTGTAAGTTAGCCACAGTAATAACAAAATAAAATAATTATAGTTACTGTCATAAAGTTATGATATGGTCTTTCTCAGAATCTTACTGTACTATACTCTTCATGCGATGATGTGAGATGATAAAATGCTTATGAGATGAAGTGAGGTGGGTAATAGTAAAAACTGTGACATAACATTAGGCCTACTACATAAGGGGTACTTGGAACACCAGCACTGCAGTACCACCTCAGTTGATAGCAGCACAGTTGATCTAGTAACTGAGAAAGCTGCTAAGTAAATAATGGTCAGGTAGTATATACAGCATGGATATGCTAGACAAATGAATGATTCATACTCTAGGCAGGATGGAGTGGGATGGCATGAAATTTTATCCATCTACTCAGAACACCATACAGTTTAAAACTTATGAACTCTGCTTCTGGAACTTGCCATTTCATATTTTTTGGCTGCAGCTGACCACTGGTAACTGAAAGCTTGGTAAGCAAAATCACAGAGAAGGGGGAACTAGTCTAATAGGCTGCACAAATTAATCTTTCATTTTCACCCAGACTTGGCTTTGTGTCCTTAAGAGTCATTCTAGGCCTGTGTTCACCATTACACCAGATATCCAAGGTCCTCCAATTCCATGACTCCACTCCTTTATGTGCAAAGCAGCCTGAAAATAAATAGCTTTTTGGAGGTAAAAACATGGACCCTTAGAATAAGGTAACCAACCACTTTATTTTGCCTTTCAGTAATACAACATAGTGCAAAACTAAGTACAGTATCTACTGGATAGAAATTATTTTTTGAAGAATCAAACAGGAAAATGTGGGTAAGAATTTACCATTCAGTAGCTGGGCATGGTGGTGCACACATTTAGTTGCTCTGGGAGTCTGTGGCAGGAGGATCACAAATTTAGGCCTAGCCTTGGCATCTTAACTGACACAGTTGAGTTTCCCAAAACAAAAAATGTTTAATGGTTAGGGATGAAGATCAGTACAAAGGCCCTGGGTTCAATCTCCAGAACCACCAAACAATTTAAAAAGTTTTTTTCATTGTACTAAGGAAAATATAAGAATTTTCATGATCACAAGAAGGGAAATTTTTGTAGTCTAGTCTTTATTAGCTCCATTAATGAAAAGTTTTTGTTTGAATATAAGTGAAAAATGTCAAATTTTCTCACTTTTCATTTGTTTAAAGTAGCTTCTATGACAAATGACTATATTTTCTTAGTTCAGATGTCACATTTAAGAGGATAAGTAAAAATATCATTGAAATTGGATAGTAAAATAGGCTAAAGGACAGAAGAAACTTGTCAAGTATGTTGACATTGTTAACCTCTGAACAAAGACTAAAAACAAATACTTTTTAATGACATAATGTATATTATGCTATTGAGTATTAAAGTATGATTTTAATAGTATGATTATAACAATTTTCCATTCCTAGTTTTCTAGATTAAAATTACAAGATTTTTAAAAATAAGCTGGGCATGGTGGCACAGACTTGTAATCCCAGCACTCCAGAGGCTGAGGCAGGAGGATCACCACAAGTTCAGGGCCAGCCTGTGTGACCTACACAGTAAGTTTAAGGACAGCCTGAACTACATAGCAAGGCCCTGTCTCAAAAAACAAATTTTTTACAGGAAAAAAATAACTGGTTTATAAAGAAATATCCAACAGTGTAAAGTTTTTATCCTTGCCCCAAGCTAGTTTTAATAATCTTGCTGGAGAATTCATATTCTTTTTTTTTTTTTTTTTTTGGTACCAAGGATTGCACTTGGGACCTTGCGCTTTTGAGGCAGGTGGTGGCACCACTGAGCTAAATCCCTGGCCCAGAATCCATACTCTTTAATCCTAATTTCCTACAAGTCCCAATATCAACAATTTAATATATTCCTATATCCTTTTTTCAATTCTTTCTGTATTATTTATGCTATTCTATGTAAAATTTTTATACATAATGTTCTATAACTTTTTTCAAATACAATGAACACTAAAGGTAGAAACTAGTTTGGTTTTTTTATTTCTTTTTTTTTTTTTGAGGTAGGGTCTTGATGTGTATTCCAGGCTAGCCTTAAACTCACTAGGTAGGCCAGGCTAGCCTCAAACGCATGGCAATCCTCCTGCCTCAGCATCCTGAGCGATGAGATTACAGGTGTGCACCACCACACCCAGCATGGGAAACTTCTTTAAAAATGCTTTTCTTAGGGCTGGGAATTTAGCTCAGTGGTTTTGCCACCTGCTGCACAAGAACAGAGTTCAATCCCCAATACCAAAAACAAAATGCTTTTCTTAAAAAGATGTATTAAGGTAGTACTTTTAGTTTGCTCTGACATTTTGTCTCCTATCTCCAGTGACACCCATTTGTTATAGGTCTGCCCTTCAACAATTAGAAATGCTTTCAAAATGAAATAGTGCCGGGGATTTAGCTCAGTGGTTTCGCCACCTGCTGCACAAGCACAAGGACCTGAGTTCAATTTCCGGTACCAAAAAACAAAACAAAAAAATGAAATAGTTTCAGCCAGGCGTGGTGGTGCACATCTGTAATCCCAGCACTCAGGACACTGAGGCAGGAAGATGGCTGTGGGTTTGAGGCTAGCCTGAACCACACAGTTTTCTATTTGGGGGGGGGGGGGCGCGGGTAACGGGATCAAACTCAGGACCTTGCACTTGCCAGGCAGCCACTGAGCTACATCCTTGGCCCAGCTTGAACTACATAGTGAGACTGTCTAAAAAAAACCAAAACAAAGATGAATTTTTCTCTTAAAATGATAGTCATCACTAAATTCTTTTTAAAAATTATAAGAATAGCTTTCAGAAATAAATTTACTCTAAACATTAGCCCAGTTGGAGTTTTTCCTTTTGTTATGGTGCTAAGGATCAAACCTAGGGTCTTGTGCATGCTAGGCAAACACTGCCACTGAGTATACCCACCCCTCCACACACCACCAGCCCAATCAGTTTTTATCAAAATTTAGTATTACGGGATCATGTCCTGTGGTCTTCACAAATTTGAGAAAGTCTTCAGGACTCAATCCCATGGTGGCAGCATTGGTCATTGGATAAAAATATACCTTCTCATGTCCACCTTCCAGAAAAGCAGAATCCAAAACAAATTTCACATCTCTATCATCACAGAAGAGTGCTAGGGGTGTAGCACAACCTTGGCCAACTTTTAGTTTTTCTAACATGGCTGTCTCATCAGCAAACCGAAGATTTCCACTCCCAACACCTAAGTGCTTGGCAAGATCATTTAAGTTAACTTGTCTATCATGAAGAACTGTCACCAGCCAGTAGCTTTTTTTCTTTTTGTCTTTAAGAAACAGATTCTTACTATGTGCTCCTTTCAAATGCTGGATATGAGGCATCATTTCTTCAACTGTAAACACCTATAAAATACCATAGAATGAGAAGTTTAGAAATAAAATAACATTTTATATATATATATATGCACACACATATACATTTGTATGCATTCTGCCTGCTGAGTAACAACTGGAATGTTAGGGAGTACTCATTGCTCTAAATGTACCTAGTACAGACTATCTCAGGATCTCAGGCAGTTTCTCTTTCCATTCCAGTGTGTTGAATATGAATAACCAAGCCTTTGCATTCCAAAAAACTTTCCTTAACTTTAAATTTTTAGTACTGAAATTGTACAGAGCCCTAGACTACTATTGCTTAGCATTCTATTACATCCAGACCATGTGACAACCTCCACTCTACAAATATAGTGGAGAGGACAGTGAAAGCCCTAGATTAATACATTAAAAAAATCAAAATATCTAGCAATATGCACAAAGAAGGGGAGTGACTATGGGGAAAAGGTGAGAAAATATAGTTGATGATAAATGTGTAAAGGTGCGAAATACTTTTAATGTTTTTCTCTAAAGATCACCATTTTAGCCATTATCAGTTGTGTTGCTCAAACCCTGGGTAAAGTTTATGTCCCTGCACCACTCAAGTTACACTCCAATTCCATGAAATATCTGCAAATAAATCTTCAAAGTAGTACAGTGAACCTGGTTAAAATTTATTAAGACGGGAATGAGCCAGATGTGGTGCTACTTAGGAGGCTAAGACAGGAGGAGGATGGAAAGTGAGGAAAGGGATGGAGATGTAACTCTATAGTTGAGTGCCCCTGGGTTTGATGCCCAGTACTCAGACACACAGACACATTCACTTGTATGTGGACATATTTATAAAGCTAGGCGTGGCGGTGCACTCAGGAAGCTTTCTGATAAAGGAGCATCACGAGCTGGAGGCCGGCCTGCACTATATAGCAAGATCTTGTCCAAAAAGGTACACATTTTTGTGTGTTGGGGGGGGCACAATACTGCAGAACCGTAAAGAATAAACATTGTCATACACTGATAACAAAACAACAGATCCTCAACTTCAGTATCCCGCAATATACACAGTGGCTACTTGGTAGCCATGGAATGGCATATTTACTGCTTAGTAACTTATCTACACACAAAGTGGGCAAACTTGACATCCCAGACCGGGGTAAGATGAGCAAGATGTCCATATGCTATGTTTCACTGATTCTCAATATGTAACATAACTCAAAGTAGAAAACGTCGATTTCCTCACATTAACTTCAAATCCCAAGTCAGAAGCTTCTGCTCTGCCTGTCCGGGACCGGGAAAAGTTCTCCAACTGCCGTTTGGTCCGCACTTCGTCCCGGATTCCGGATCTTAGAAAGCACGCCAGACAGTGACACAGAGGGCACCCCTCCGGCCCAGCTGTGCCAGCGCTCACCCCTAAGACGGGAGTCTCACCTCAGGGTGCTCCACAGTCTCCGTGCGGATGGCCAGGGCACAGAGCTCCTGCTCTAGGAATGCCCGAAAATCTGTCCCCGCCATCCCGCGCAGCGCCAGGGCCTCTGGGGCGGAAGTGCCCGGAGGGAGCCAGGCTGTCGCCGGAAGTCTAGTCCGGCCGCCTTCCGCAGGTCAGGCGTGGAGTCCTTGTGCTTCTCTCCGGCGCGCCCGGGGCCGCTGGCCACGTAGGCCTGGGGGTGGCCAGGAGCTTGCATCCGTTCTGAGAACAATCCCTGATCCCTCTTCACGTTTCCTACGTCAGCGTAACTCTGGTTTAAACAAAATCAAAGCCTCATACTAATGTACAGGGTTAGGGGCATGGAGGAAGCCAAGACAAATTGTTTTAAAGCATTCCAGCTTTAATTTGTAAAACATATTTTACCGTTTAAACTTTTTTGTTATTAATCTAGGAATAATTAGCATTGATAACCATTACTGTTTCTGCCATGGTAGTAGCAACGTACATAGTCCAGGCTGGCCTCGAACTTGGTAATCCTCCTGCCTCAGCTTCCGAATGCTGGGAACACAGGCATGCGCCACCACGCCAGACATATGTTAGGTCTTTTTTTTACATAGTTGAAACAGTCATACAATTTTGTACCAAACTTTTTTAGTTTCAAACATTTTATTCTGTTGTTACACTGTGTTCCTATTTTAATAAAGATGTGCTATTTAGCTGCGTACAAAATATATGTACCTGGACATCCCACCCTTCCACCATGCTTGCACATCCCTAGCTCTGGATTATAATTATCTCAACCATTTCCGTATTGATGGACATCTTTGTTAAGGACATGATATTCTAAATTTCCAAAATAATATATGTATATTTTAAAATTTTAAAGCAAAAGGGACACTTTGTTGTAAATGTGCATTCTTCTGCTTACTATATATGTGTGTTTGTAATTTTAAAATGTAACAGACAAAAGGGACACTTAATTGTTTAATATACATTTTCCTCATAACCAGGTGCCTGGCTATTTTTCCATGTTTATTATTTTATTTCTATATTTGTGAACTAGCTTTACTTATGGCTTGGCTCACTTATCCACTGAATTCATATTAATGGCTTTTACACTGATATAATCAAGTTATGTACCTTTTATCTATCATATAGTTTCCAAACAGGTTTTTTCTTTTTTCTTTTTTTTTCCCCATTTGTGCTGTGGTTATATCTACAGGAGTTACTCATTTTATGTAAACAACTGTCATTCTTTCCTTTTAAGTTTTTCTAAGTTTAGAAAGCTAACTTCCAACAATAGAATATTCGGTTTAGTTTTTTAGTTTTTAAAGAATATTTAATTCATCATTTACATTTACTTAGGCATATTAAGTAGGATAGGCTCACTTTTTTAGTAGTTTTCCCACTAGGAATGAGGTTAGAATAGCAAAGATCACCCATTTGAAGAAACAGCATGTCCCAAGTGATTATCTTCCAATGTTTATTGCCCTTTGATAGTATTCAAATTCATCTGGGAGTAGTGGTGCCTACTTGTAATCACAACACTTGGTAGGCTGAAGCAGGAGGATCACTATGTGTTTGAGGCCAGCCTGGGGTACATAGTTCAAGGTCAGCCTGAATTATATAGTGAGAGCCTGTCGCAAAAAAAAAAATAGTACTTAAATTCAATCATGCTGATCTGAGAAAAAAATACAGAGAAAGAAAAATTGGAATCTTATTATAACCAAGAAAAATGTGAGTTATATCCAAAAGTAGGAAAACATTATCCAAGAGTAGGATCTCTTATGACAGCTACAAAGAGGAATGCAAAGAAAAAAATGGCAGTGGCATCTAGCACATTGTCTAGGTAATAGTCTTCCTAGAAATCTCTTTGGAAATGATCTGCTATCCATCAGCTGCTTAGTCATGAATGCCTTCTCCCTCCCTCTCTCATGTATCTAATCATTCACAGTTCAATTGCTGAAATCCCATTTCTTAGCTCCTCCATCACTCTACCCAAACTACTACAGTATTTCCCGTGGTCTACCCTAATGGTTTCTTAATTTCAGGGTACCCATGGTTGAATGACCCAAATATCCTATACTAAGAGTTTTACAATGGTGCTCGCTTTGGCAGCACATATACTAAAAAAAAGTTTTACAACCAAGGATTTTTATTATGAGACAGGTAAATCTGTCTATGCTGAAAGAATTTTACATCACTCTTCAAAAACTATAACAGGTTGGGGCCGGGGATTTAGCTCAGTGGTTTTGCTGCCTGCTGAGCAAGCACAAGGACCTGAGTTCGATCCCCAGGACCAAAAAAAAAAAATTTAACAGGTTTAATGCAACATTTATTTATCAAATATACATGTAAGCATTACATTAAATACAAAAGGGCTAGGTGTGGTGGTACACACCTGTCATCCCAGCACTAAAGAGGCTGAGGCAGGAGGATTGCTGAGTTTGGGGCCAGCCCAGTCTACATAGTGAGTGAGGCCAGCTGGAGAGACATAGCAAGACCCTGTCTCAAAAAAATAATAAATAAATAAGAAATGGTGCCTTTGCCATGGCCCTTTGTTCTCAAACCAAATACACGAGTTTACATTGAAAACAACATGAACCAGTTTCAACTAAACATTATCTAGAGTTAACTTGAAGAAATATTTATCTAGTGATAGAGCCTGAATATAAAATCTCAAGAGTCTGGATCCCAAGCTCCTAGGGCAGAGAAGGTGAGCTGGTCCCAGCACCAGGATGGAAGCTCCCCTGCTGCCATCCCAGGCTCCTAGGCCAGAGAAGCTGAGTGGGTCCCAGAACCCAGAAGGAAGCTCCCCTGCCACCATCCCAAGCTCCTAGGGCAGAGAAGCTGAACAGGTCCCAGCATCTGGAGGGAAGCTCCCCCACCACCATCCCAAGCTCCTAGGGCAGGGAAGGTGAGCCCCAAGAGCACCAGAAGCAGAAGCAACAACCCCCCACACCCCCGGGGAAATGAGAGGACACGTAAACAAGCCTCAAAAACAGACTTCTGGATCACCTACACAAACCAGAAAGGGAAACGAGATGGAACAATCTGATACTCAACTACCTGGACTCTTTGAACTGGCAACAAAAGAGGATCTGGGAAAAATGAAATCAGAAATAATTACTCAGATAACAGCAAAGATTTTGCTCATGGTGCAAGACATGAT